GAGATCACCGACGCCAACGTTGTTACACTGTATCAACGTAATCCAACGCAACTTTGAATGAACTGTAAATGCTGGCTTCATTCTAGATAATATTATTGGAAATAATAAATGTAATAGCAGAATACATCCTAGTAATAAACTAAGTGACTTCTAAAGACTGAATGGTTTTTGCGAACTTCGTATACAGAGCCCATTTAGTTATGAACTGACGTTAGCTTCACGTTCATGTCCTACCAAAAACAGTACCATGGAAACAGCCAAAAACATGTTGCTTGTTTTTTGATCGGAGCGGATCGTCAACCAGCCTACCGGCTTGTATTGACTATGTTCCGGACTGTTTACTAGTACTTACTTACATGTCAGTGTCTGACTGTTATATACAGCCCAGAACACTTCAGATTAGTAAAAAACACGCCGTGCATGGCACAGTCCCAGTTAGTTATCAAATTTAAGATATATAGTTTTGTTTATAGTAATATAGCTGGAATATAACCATGTCAGAAATATGATTTTTTTAACATTAAAATGATTGACATTTGTATCTGATCGTCAAACAAGTACTTGTCCATATTGAAAGATATTGCTCTGGAACAGCATTAATTAAAACAAAATCGGGCATTTTGAATAATGTATATATCTATAGCATGATGTATAACGAATATATAAAATTTGAACATAATCAGTCAAAGCATGTCAAAAATATGGCTCTAGAAGCCCAATCATTAAAACAAAATGGCCGCCAGTCAGCCATTTTGAATCCGATCTAAAAAATAAAATGTGCATCAGGAACCCGTAATGTCTAATGTATGCACCAAGTTTGAACGAAATCCATCCATAAGTGCCAGAAATGCTTGATATTTGATGATATTTTAGCATAAAAATGGCCACCATTTGGCCATTTTGAATAGGATTGTCAAACCAATATATCTGTATATCTATAACATGATGTATAATGAATACGGTATTAAAAATTTGAACATAATCAGTCGAAGCAAGTCAGAGATATGGGTCTAGAAGCCAATTCATTAAAACAAAATGGCTGCCAGTCAGCTATTTTGAATCCGATCTGGACAATAAAATTGTTTGCATCAAGGTCCCATAATGTCTAATGTATATACCAAGTTTGAACAAAAATCCATATGTAAACAGCCGAGAAAGTGCTTGATTTTGATGATTTTTTAGCACAAAAATGGCCACCATTTGGCCATCTTGAATCAGATCGTGAAACGAATTGATGTGCATATGTATAATATCATGTAAGATGTATAGGTGAAGTTTGATCATGATTCGTCCTGAGGGATTT